GGGGGGGGGGGGTAGAGAAAAAAGAGCTCCTGCCTGTCACAGCTTTCAAACACAAAGAAAAATGAGCACTTGGGCTGAAGTACAATTATTAGCCCCTGTCTACAGATTCATCACACTATAGAGAGGGGGTAGAGATAGAGAGAGGACTGGAGCAAGAGGTGGAGTCGAGAAAGGTGGAAAAAAGAGCTGTATAGGTATGGGCAGAGCAGTATGGAGGATGGAAAGACAATGAGGAGAAAAAAAAGGAAGACTGAGGAAATAGAAAATAGGGCTGTAGAGCTGTTACACTGAGAGCGAGCCACACTGGGTACAAGGTGAAGCATGCAAAGCTACCGCAGAGTCGGGAGAAAAGAGGGGGAGGGAGGTTTTAGGGAAATAAAAGAGTGAGGAAAAGAGAAAGAGAGAGGCAGAGGTAAAGGAAGGTAAAATGAAATAAGAGGATTTGTCAGGCCAGTGGTTGGTGGCAGTAATAAAGCCTGCTAATCTGGGGGAGAACGCTTGGCTGCTCTCGCACTGACTCTCTTGACGCCCCACTTTACCACCGGGCCAAGGCAAGGTCACACACACACACACACACACACACACACATGTGATCATGCCAGTCCAAACACACACGTTTTCAGGGCGTCTGTGTTTGTGTGTGTATGTGTGTGTGCGTGTGTGTGTCCAATCTAAGCTTCTTCCTCTGAATGTTTTGCCGTCACTGCTGACCTCTCTCCTCTCCACACGCATCTTTTCTCTCTCACACCTTTTCTCTCTGCGTCACTCGTCTTCTTGTTAGGCATCATGTCCACCACACACCCCCCTCAGCCATGTTGATTTTGAAATCTCATTTTTCTTCTTTTCTTAACTGGCTCCGCCGCGTGAATCAATACCTATCAAAACCATTACATAAATACATCTGTCACAAGCAGATTGTAGAGTGGGGATGTAATGTGTCTGGTTAAGGCCACCATAGGGTGAAAGGAGATATGTTGTGTGTGTGTGTTCTCAGAGGACAGCGAGTGTCATTTTGTGTGACCAGGTGTGTCGGACGGAGAAAAAAAGGTGGTTATTGAGCTGCGGTAAATGACGCATAACCTGGTGCACCACTTACTTAGCCCCGGACCCGTTCTCTGTGTCTCTTTTTTGTCAGTTGTTGTTGTGTTGGATGTATGATTGTGTAGTCATAGGTATGTCTGTATGATTTCTTGAAGTGCACAGTGAAGAGTGAAATGTACAAAAAGGGTACCTGGCTGCATGAAGCTGTATTTAAGTTGTGTTTGCATGGCTGAGAGCTAGTTAATAGTCCTTAAAACTATGGGGATTGAAA